AAAGGCTGTCAAAGCATGACAAAAAGGAGATGCAGCTGGTTGTTCTCTTACAGAAACAATGTCTTCAGGTCTGAGTTTGGGAGCTTCGGGTTTTGGTTTGTCTGCTGGAAGTGTGTCACCAAGCATATCGAGAGCATCCAGAGACATGGAGTCATCCTGAGGAGAGAACAGGAGAGGAATTTATCATTTAATCCATCATTTATAGTTTGACTTTATCTGGGACCTTCTCCAGCTTGGCTTTCTTATCAACAGGAGGACACACAGGACACACAGCCAACTGCTGCAGCTCCTTCACCTTCACACAGTTTGGCTCCTTCAGCCTGGTGCTGGTATAATGATATCACACACCTTAAAGTTGTACTTTACCTTTACAGGAAGTGATGCAAAGTTAGCAGGACCAGCAGAAGAGGCACGGACACTGTCATCATGGACCTTCTTCTATTTATTTCATATAGAGGAAAAAAAAAAATTGAATTTGTTAGATGACTTAAAAAAACTAAAGCTAGGCCTTCAATTTTATACACGAGTCTGAGCGCACATCAAGGGCTAATACTGTCTACAACAGACATGCCAGACTGTGAGTTTTAAATATGGACTTTTGTCTAGAGGGCACAGGTGTGTAAAGGTTGAGGACTGACAAGCAGCCGAGAGCTACATGCATGAAGAGTCTGACCTCGTCCTTCTTAGATGCAGCTGGATCAGAAAATGTGAGGAAATCATCTGATAGAGAATCCATGGCCTGGTCTTCGGTCATTGGTTTCTGAGAAGGAAAACAGACCAGTCAGTGACACACCAGGTTTTTCTATTTAAAACTAACTATGCTCCTCTATAGCCATGTCCTCCTCCTGATCCTCCACTAGAGGGCATGTCTGACCAAGTTAAAAGGCAAATAGGAAGGCAAAGAAATGAAAACCAAAGTGCATGTAGAAACAAGGAAAAGAACAGACACACCCTTGACCTTCTGTGGAGACCAAAAAAAATCAACAATAAACCTCCTTAGGACACATCTGACGCATAAAACTATTGTGATTTATTAGATGTTTCATAGACTCAACAACTAACAACACAAAACTCACAGTGGAACAAAGTGTCTGGGTGGAAACAAATCAAGAGACACAGAACCATCGACACAGAACCATCTTGTAAGATATGATGACAAAGCAGGAGCGAGCTACGTTATGTGGGTGTGCCGAGGGTGAGTAAGTAATAACCCACATATGGGTGGATATAAAAATGTCTAACAGATGTGTGAGAGTGTCTTTGTCTATGTGCTCGTGCACACATATTTATATGAGGTTTGGTCGGACAAGAGCCAAGAGCTCAATGAGAAAAGGTGGTTGCTGTGCGATTTGCTCAGACAACACCCACAAGTGCAGCGCAACATTCCCCACTCTAGAGGAACCAGCGAACCGTACAGTAGAAACAGTGCTTCCTGTAGGTGTAATCTCAGTGCAGAATCATTTGCTTACACATGTTGAAAAACATTTACAAAGAATGAGTTGCTGAGGTTGTGACCTCACTAAATGTGAGTTGTGAAATGTTCACTTACAGGAACGTCCTTAGGTTTAACCTCGGCAGGAACCGGAGCCTAAAAAAAAAAAAAATAGAGATTCAAATGTTAAGTTAAAGTGTTTGTACAGGAAAAAAAGCTGCTTAAATAAATGTTTTATTTAAATCTGGAACTACAGTATTCTGATCAGAAGATGAGCCTGACCCAACACAGGGTACTTTCAGCATCTGGCAGGTTTTGACACAGTGCAAACACATTTTAGCTGGTACCAAAACAAAGATATTGTGGGTTGATATTCAGCCCTGCTCATCTCCATCTGGACAAAGTAGATGGAGTTTTGCTTGCAGTGTTCACAGCACTGAACTATTGTGAGATCTGTTAGTAAGGTTAAACACATTCTGCCGGCGGTTAAACAAAACAAACGAGTGAATCAGAAGAAATGGTTATGACGAGCACACTGGGGAGAACTGACCTTATCTGTAAATCGGTAACCTGGCGGCAGTGTGTCTTCTCTCTCTCCACACTTGTAACCCACCTCAGGGGTGATGACATGCTGTGACACATGCAACGTACACAGTTAGTCACAGCAGAGCCGTGCATCAGTTCAGTGCAATCACATGCTGTTATACAAGCGCACTGTGGCTTTGCTGTACCTCTGTGACCTCTGGTCCAGTGTATATAGGTTCTTGGGGTCTGACAGAATCAGCTGATGGTAAACTGCTGGCCAGGTCATCAAATGGATCTGCTGCAGGTGCCTGCGCATGCAACAAGACTCAGCATACTGGAGCATGCAACATGTTTTTCAAAGCAGAACCCATACTGCTTCACTAAGTCTTTACCTCTTTAGCTCCTTTGGCTGCTGTGGAAGGAATCACTGCCTGCACCTGCAAAGCAGACCCAGAATCAGTAACCATTAAACATGCAACACAACAAACCTGTTTGGATCATTACAGAACTGACAAGCTCTAATCAAATAATGATAATGTCAACATAGGAAGAACATGGGGTTTAATCATTTCTCAAACATCAATACATTTTTCTGAGTGGACAAGAATCAAAAAGTCCCTGCAGGGCCTGAAGCATATTAGTTGTCTCTTCAGTCCAACACGGAGAAGAAACAAGAAACAGCATGAGGATCTTCAATCATATTCATTAATACAATAAACAGGACAAAACCATCAGACAGCCTCCACCCTGGTTGGTTTGGGATCGTCTAACCTTCGCTTGTGTCGGTTTAGCTTCTTCCTTCTTCCCCTGCACAGACACATTTCCAGCTGCAGCTGTGGCTGCTGCAGCAGGCTTTTGTGTTTTAGTAGGATCAGCTTTAGGCACTTCAGCCTTGACTGTTGTGGCAGCAGTGGAACTCTAAAATACAGTGAATTTGAATGTATTATAGGCCAAGTGCATCTCAAGTCAAAATACAGGTCCACTGTACACGCTCAGTAATATACCCAAATGAACAAATGAAAGTCAGGATGGCAGGAACCAGCTTCAGCAGAAGAAAATCTCCACCAACCCGATGACCCGCATTCATTTAGAAGTGTCACAGAGTGTGCTGTGCTGCAAAACTAGTGACAACATACAGCAAGCCTCTCCTCTTCATTTGTTTCCTTTGGTTAACTCAGATTTCAGTGTGCTGTTGCAGGTGGACAAGTGTGCACTATGAGCAAATACAATAACAAGCTTAGGCATGCTGTGCAAAGAGCTGCAGAGTAAAGAACAAAAGTATGCTCCTCGATCGGTCATCTCCCAGAGAGAAAAGGCAAAATTTTTCATAGAAGCTCCCAGAGAAAGAAATGCCAAAAACAACTGTCTGAATGTTTCTGGGTAAGGACTTTAACAAAGCCTGATGAAGAATCTGAAACACAAAGAAGATGATGCAGAAAAAAGAAATGACCAAAGAAAGCCTCAAAAGGTACAGCCAAAGGGAGAGTCACAGAGGTGGTAAAGGGTCTGAAAGGCCTCTGTCAGCCGAGTCTACCTTGGCCGTGTCTTTAGGTGACTCTTTAGGTTTAGACACAGCAGCGGCTGGCCGGGCCAGGGGGGGCTATAGCTGTGGCTTTGACTTGGGAGGCAGGTGCAGTCTGCAAACACGCAGCCAAAGGATTACTCAGAAACACAAGGATGACAGATAAAAGCAGCAGATGTATTAAGAAGATGTGTAAAGCATCATGAAGGTCATGTATCAAGGAGGTATTAAAGAGTCTGAAAGGCCTCTGTCAGTCGAGTCTACCTTGGCCGTGTCTTTGGGTGACTCTTTAGGTTTGGACACGGCTGTGGCTGCAGCTGCTCCAGTGGCAGGAGGTGGAGCTGTAGCTGTGGCTTTGACTTGGGAGGCAGGTGCAGTCTGCAAACACGCAGCCAAAGGATTATTCAAAAATACAAGGGTGGCTGATACACAGTGCTTCTAAAGCAGCAGGCATATTGAGAAGAGACATGTCAGGCGTCATGGAAGTTGTGTGTCATGAGGGGTCTGGAAAGCTGTCAGTCGAGTCTACCTTGGCCGTGTCTTTGGGTGACTCTTTAGGTTTGGACACGGCTGTGGCTGCAGCTGCTCCAGTGGCAGGAGGTGGAGCTGTAGCTGAGGATTTATGTTGAGACACAGGTGCAGTCTACAAACATGTATCCAAATGATTACTCAGAAACACAAGGATGACAGATAAAAGCAGCAGATGTATTAAGAAGACGTGTAAAGCATCATAAAGGTCATGTATCAAGGAGGCATTAAAGAGTCTGACACTCCTCTGTCAGTCGAGTCTACCTTGGCCGTGTCTTTGGGTGACTCTTTAGGTTTGGTCACCGCCGTGGTTGCTGCTGCGCTAGCGGCTGCTCCAGCTCCAGTGCCAGGAGGTGGAGCTTTAGCTGTGACTTTGACCTGGGATGTAGGTGCAGTCTGCAAACATGCAGCCAAAGGATTATTCAAAAACACAAGGGTAACTGAGACTAATCAAACTGTTGATCAGTTTAGGTTTAAATTCTGGTGCTGGACAAGCTCTAATCAAAGCTGCCAGGCCAATCCTCTAATAATGATAATGTCAACATAGGAAGAACATGGGGTTTAATCATTTCTCAAACACCAATACATTTTTCTGAGTGGACAAGAATCAAAAGTCCCTGCTGGCCCTGAAGCATATTAGTTGTCTCTTCAGTCCAACACGGAGAAGAAACAAACAGCATAAGGATCTTCAATCATATTCATTAATACAATACTGTTACCAAAATAAAGAGGACAAAACCATCAGACAGCCTCCACCCTGGTTGGTTTGGGATTGTCTAACCTTCACTTGTGTCGGTTTAGCTTCTTCCTTCTTCCCCTGCACAGACACATTTCCAGCTGGAGCAGTGGAACTCTAAAATACAGTGAATTTGAATGTATTATAGGCCAAGTGCATCTGAAGTCAAAGTACAGGTCCACTGTACACGCTCAGTAATATACCCAAATGAGCAAATGAAAGTCAGGACGGCAGGAACCTGGTGCTTTTCATGCTTTAATTTAAAACCAACATTAGGTACTTTTCAATATTGCTGACCATTTTCTAGTTTTTACACTGATATTCTGTTTACATTTACACTGTGAAAACATTTTAAAACCTTATTCAACAGGCCCAGACACTACTAGACATTAAGCAACACAATAAGCTAACATGTGAAAACCACGTGGATGATGTGAATTTGGTAGTTTTATTTAAAACTGTGCTGTTAAGCAGCTGACACAGGAATCATGCATGTTGTGGTTTCCCACAAGCACATGCAAAGCAACAGCAGTCTGTGTTCACAATGACAGCAGCACAACCTCCACGAAAAACAAAGTTAATATAAGAATCAAAGTGAAGTATTAGTTATTAAGATAGAGTGTCAAGTATCTGCATCTGCCCAGTTGGTATACAACCAATCTAAAAACCTGAAGGGAAAACAGGCAGCATAATGTAAAAACACAGCGCTTCTAGTTAAATAGTGGGTTAAAGCAAGAAAAGGCACCAACCAGTACCACCCAGCGCCTTGGCCATGATGCCATCATTACCTTTGACATCCCTTTAGGACTGTCCCTCACCTCTGCTGATGTCATATCAACAACAGTAGCCCCAGCAGATGACAGGTCAATAAGAGTAGCACCTGACAGCGTAGTGTTAGTCTACAGACCAAAGAGGATGTGTCCAGAGAAACTCATGAGGGTGTTACTGATGAAGTCAGCGCCACAAGCCTGATGATATGAAAGTTCATTCATGTGACACAATGAGTGTTCAAGAGACAACGCACACAGAGAAGTAAAAGATGTTTTGCCAGATGAAAAGAAGATGATACCAGCAAACGAGAGCTGCCCGTAAGAAGGAAGCAGTGGTTCACATTACATCACACCAAACAGCCCAAAGCCCCCTCGGCTTTGATTCAGGTATCCAGAGTCCATCTACCTCGGGTTTGTCTTTAGGTGCCTCTTTTCCGGCTGTCCCAGCTGAAGCACCTCCTCCTGTAGCGCCAGGCTTCGTAGCCATGGCAGATCCTGAGTATGCCTTCTGCAATGCACCAGGTGTTGAGTCAATCATCTTCCTTTATTACCAAGTCAGAAGATATGGGCACTGCCTGTGTATGCTTGTGGCAACCTCTACTGATTTTATTGCTTCATGACAAATTAATCTTACAGAGATCGTTAAAGGAGACAAATTTTACACAAACATCAGTTTACTCATCATTTGGAGTATTACTCTACCTGTTTAAATAGTTGTATAAAGTCTCTGGTGGAACTGGAGAGACCTAAGCTATGGAGGGACCCTGAAGACCTCACTGTGATGTCATCAGAGTCCCACAACTTGGGCTTGTACACAACAGATGTATAGCTGAAAGCTAATGTTACAAATTAGGGGCATTGTGAAATGTATGGGTGTTTGCCAGGCAGGGAAGGTCAAAAGAAATTATGAAATTGGTTGCATGATGGGAAATGTAGGAAACAGTTTTTAAGAGCCTGGGCAACACGAGACACTAAAGTCAGGATATCTTGGCCTCTTTTGCTCTGACCTGCACCGTTCGTTTGTCTCTTTTAAATCTTCCAACTGTATGCAAGTATTACATTGTTCGAATACCCCTTTAAAATGAAAGCAAAGGCGATAGTTCATCTGATTCATAGGTTCTGAATACGATGCAAATTGGGGGGGGGATGCCTATACTAATGTACCATACATAGCCATGTATTTCTTTTGCATAATGAGTTACAACACTATGTACATGTAGCACTGCACTAATCTTATACACTGCCTCTGAAATACAAACCCCCACTATGTACCCCAGTGTAGTGAAGTCAGCCAGGAGGTATGAAAAGGTCAGCTGGGGTCAGTGGAGGTCAAGGTCAACTGCTAAGAGTCACTTATAACTGAAGGCTACTGACTGAGGAATACAGGTGTTTAGCAACTCTGTAAGTTTAAAACATACATCTTTCACATTATAATCCACTACTATTTTTAATATTGTTCTTATTGCACTGTTTTCTGCACACAGCCAGCTTATAGTTCAACTATCCCACCAAAGCCTTTCTCTGCAGGCCAGACACCAAAAATAGATGATGTCTAAGCACATGTGTTAAGGGTCGAGTACGCCAGCACTGTTGGTTTCTTTTGTCAAAATGTTGTGTGGAGTTTAAGAAGTAAATGGGAATAGTGAAAGCCAATCAGGCAGTGGACCTCCTGTGTTCTTGAGACTCTCATTAATAGAGGACTGAGGAGAAAAAAATGCTATTGAGAATCGAGACCCTTAAAATGCACCTACAAATCTGAACTTGCCTGAGCTCCTATTTAACATCACTAACAGCATTAAGGGGTTAAACGACTTCCCACTGGCTAAGAAACAGGGTGTTTCCTCTCTTGGACTTAAATGGAAGGAAGAGGAAAGTTTTCTTTGGTGTGTGCTACTGCTCAGAGGACACAGCTAAAGCCATTCCCTCACTCACCTTAAAAATACTGTAGCTATTAAAAAAAAATAAATGAAGCTTCACACTGCTGGAACAGATAGCAAGTAACAAATACACACATTCTGGAGAACAGTGGAGTGGTCATGGGGGTCAGTCCAACACAGGAAGGAACAAACGAGCTTCTTTGAAGAGAAACAGTGGAGAGACAAGGTTAAATGGTTCATAGAGGAGTGTTCAGTACCTTGGGCTCCCCAGTGGAGGCCGGAGCTGACGGTTTGGGTGGGTCCCGGCTCGGCTGCGACTGCAGAGAGAAACAGACAAGCAGAGGGACAAAAGTTACACAAATCATCGAAATTATTTCAAGATTCACACTGAGTAACATTCCATGCATCTCAATCCTGGATCGATGATGTCACAAATGCTTTAAAATGTTTTTTATTTTTAAGACAGAGGTGGAGACGGGGGGAAAGAGAGAGGCTGGAAAAACCTGCCATACACATCAGTTACAGTGCAGTCATGTACTGCTGCAAACACATGTAGTTCAGTCAGAGGTGGTGGATTGAAGTACTACATTCCAACCAGGTAAAGGGTGTGACTGCTATTTGCAGAAAGCAGCCTGAGTCTTATTGTCTGTGGTTGCCTCAGCAACTGACAACAGTAACAACAAATGGATGATACACTAGTTGCTCTACAGCTGACATCACAGAACAATATTCACATCAAACAGCTGGCGAGGTGCACCTCTGACTTCACAGCTAAGGGCGTCAGCTATACTTCACGCTACACGTGCAGGATATGACACAGATATCTGAGCTGCCCCTGCACGTAGATTTCCTCTTGGTAAGATTTGAGCTTTTGTAGCTGGTGCTGTTTTCTGTTTATCTACAAAAGTTCACTGGTCATGCTAAAGATCCGTTTTGTCTTTTGGTCCTTCATACATCTGCACCTGCTGACACAAAGGTACATGTGCAAAATAGGAAAGACACACACTGGATGCTCAGAACATTACAAGGACTCCGATTATTATTATTTTTTTTTGCAATAGGCCATAAAAACAACAGTAAAACATAGGAAACAGCACCACTCAGAACACTCTGCACTCTGGGACCTCTGACGTAGGAGCTGTTGCAGCCCAGGACTCTCACTGATTGCCTCACACACTGGTGTTGCATTTAACACAAAGTCACAGCTAAGCTCATGGTTAGCGCATGTGAATCAGATACCAGGACTGGGGGCTAAGCTTTACCTCAAACCCTCAATATTTATTTAAAAACTCACTCTAAACAGAGATACATGACTTTGTTTTTTACCTTTAAACTGTATAGAAGTGATGAATGTAATGGGAGAAGGAATGAGAAAACCACTGAAATTAACTATAAAAAAAAGTCTTTTTCTTTCAGCTAAGACCATGATCCCTGCCAGTGCAACATCACCGTTTCCTCCCTTCCAACAGATTTTTCTGTTTAGAACTAATATTACCAAAATATACTGACTGCTGGAAGAGTCAACATAATGCTCTTTAGAAAGAGGAAGTGGCACCGAGGAGGCTGTGAGGTCACAAGTTGCCAGGGCATCCCCCTGCTATAGAGGAAGTCATGTTGCTCCTGTCACTGCAGTAAATACTGACTGTTGCTAAGTCCATCCATCCATCCATTTTCCTCCGCTTATCTGGGACCGGGTCGCGGGGGCAGCAGTCTAAGCAAAGATGCCCAGACTTCCCTCTCTCCAGACACTTCCTCCAGCTCCTCCGGGGGAATGCCAAGGCGTTCCCAGGACAGCCGAGAGACATAGTCCCTCCAGCGTGTCCTGGGTCTTCCCTGGGGCCTCCTCCCGGTGGGACATGCCCGGAACACCTCCCTAGGAAGGCACCCAGGAGGCATCCGAAACAGATGCCCGAGCCACCTCAGCTGGCTCCTCTTGATGTGGAGGAGCAGTGGTTCTACTCTGAGCTCCTCCCAGGTGACCGAGCTCCTCACCCTATCTCTAAGGGTGCACCCGGCCGCCCTGCGGAGGAAATTCATTTCGGCCGCCTGTATCCGTTGCTAAGTTACCAAAGAAAACTTCAATGGTTGAAAGAAAAGGAGGCATAGTGCTACAACATGCTGGTAAGGCTCAATGTGTCAGATGTGTTAGCCGCTTAGCTTAGAACAAACATTGGAAACAGCTCGCCTGACTCTACCCAAAGGTAACACAATCAGCCTAAAGTCGCCGTTTTTGTTATAGGTTACTGCACCCAGCAAAGTAAGTTGTTTTTTTAAATAAATGAGATACAACAAGATACAGCGAGGTGCTGGTGGCCACTACCACCTTAACATCTGTGTTTATGAAGCGCAAAATGTTTCATTTCCTGGTGAAATTGTCATAAATGTATACATTCCATTATAAGTTTATTATTGATGTACTGGACTACGTTATATTCAGAGGTGTCTATATTTTTGTCTTCCCCAGATACATACATGAGAGGGTCAGAATATTAGGAACAGCTCTGAAAATAATGTAGTCCAAGTACAACACCAGCTTTAACTGGGACTGTTTGATTTTAGACAGTTATTTAAACTTGTTTGGCTCGAATCTGTGGTTTTCAACCAATGCAGATATAAATCTGTCTCTTGTATCGATTTATCTTTACAATTTCACTAAAAACTGAAACATTTCAAGCTTCAGTGTAATACAGTGACTACTGGCAAAGCTCTCAGAGTAGTACTGAGGTCTGATACTTGGACTTGAGTACAACATTGATATAATTTAAAGAAACTGAAAAAAAGCAGCCTTAATTTTATTTGATTAGAGGGATTGCGGTAACTTCAGTGTTGCCTTGTCTAAAATGTTTCAGAGATAAATCACTTCTCACTGACCAAACGAATGACATCATTACAGCACTCTACTTTTTCATACAGAAATGCACATACTGTAATAGCAAACCCAAAGCTCTCTAAGACCACAGCATCGCTACATTTGGAGCTCTCTGGTGTTAAAATACAAACTTAAATGAGTCAGTTGAATTAAAAGTGTCAGTCCTTTGATCAAAAGGAGGTTGGCCAAGAGGATCTGGTGACTCATTTGCCTTTTAGTCATATGAGAATAGTCCACAAAACAAACAGATTAAAACCATAGAGGTGTGAGACAGGAATGTGCTACCTTGCTGTTCTCAAGGTAAAATAACACAGCCCACAGCCATTCACACACAAACTACCGGGTCCTACTAGAGGTCTGAACAGGTTTTCTGCACACATCGACATGCATTTGCCTTTTTAAGACGTATTTTGAAGCAAAAGTCTCCCCTCAGCCTGACATCAGAACCAAGACAAGTCCACCGCTGCCCTGCCTTCACTGTGTTTCTGTGATGCTATTGTAACAAAAACAGGTTGGACGGCACATACAGTAAACCACGCAGAAAAACCAGAGAAACGGGCAAACAAACGGGCAGCTTATTTTTACTCCTGTGAAGATAATCGGTGCAAGGCATTTCATACAGGAAGGGGACTATATAGTTCAACTCGTTAGCAAGTTTACAAGATGTCTAAAACTGTCGGAGCCAGATTATGATAAAAATGATCAGTAATCTGTAAACATGCCAAAGAGTGACACAAGAATGTCTCTTGGGTGATTAGATAAAGCAAAAGGTAATATCTGCCATTCTTAAATGCTGAAACATGTAACTTAACCCGTTTTTGTTGAATGTCTAAAACTAAAGCAGAGGTTTGATATGTCTCCAGACTGACCTGTGCTCACCTGACACGCACTTTGCAAGCTTTCTGCCTGCTGTGACTCCACAGTACTGTTTTTTTTCTCCTCTACAGCAGACTGCTCTCAGCTTCTGCTTAACAGCTTCTGCTTGTCCATCCATGCTTGCACATTACGCCATTCTGATTAACGCTTTCATCAAAAGCACCTTAAAGTGCAGCATGTTTGGCACAAGTGATGCTGAGGAGTATTAAAGAATGGATTCTAGTGGTCCTAGTTAGTTAGTCCTCTCTCATCTAAATCTCTGTTGGTGAATGATTTGATAAGTGAACATCACATTGACTTATTGTGTCTTACTGAAACATGGTTACAGCAGGAAGAATATGTCAGCTTAAATGAATCCACTCCACCTAGTCACAGTAACTGTCACATCCCTCGAAGCACAGGCTGAGCCTATTAATCAACTCTAAACCTAAACATAGTTATAACTCATTTGAAAGTCTCACCCTGAGTCTCTCACACCCAAACTGGAAAACTCAAAAGCCTGTTCTGTTTGTTATTGTATATCATCCACCTGCTCTTTATTCAGAGTGTTTAAGTGAATTCTCAGACTCTCTGTCTGATTTAGTGCTTAGTACAAATAAAATAATCATAGCCTGGAAAGATAGTTTAATAACATATAAGAAAGCCATTCATAGTGCCAGAACCGCATTTTGTTCATCACTGATTGAGGAAAATAAGAACAACCCCAGGTTTCTTTTCAGCACTGTAGCCAGGCTGACAAAGAGCCACAGTGCTGTTGAGCTTAACATTCCCTTAGATCTCAGCAGCAATGACTTCATGAGCTTCTTTACAAATAAAATCACAACTATTAGAGAAAAAATTGGTCGATTTATTTACAAAATACTTGAAAAAGCTGTTGCAAAGCAGTTATGTGACCACTTGCACAAGAATGATTTGTTTGAGGATTTTCAGTCAGGATTTAGAGTCCATCATAGTACAGAAACCGCATTGGTGAAAGTCACCAATGATCTTCTCCTAGCCTCAGACAAAGGACTTGTCTCCATACTTGTCCTCTTAGATCTCAGTGCTGCTTTTGACACCATTGATCACAGCATCTTACTAGAGAGACTTGAACATGTTATTGGGACTAAAGGAACTGCACTAAGTTGGTTCAAACTCCTTTTGCTCATGTTAAAGATGAATCTTCCACGCAGACTGAAGTTAGTCACGGCGTTCCCTGTGTACTTATTCTGCTCGTGTTGTTGTTTTCTAATAGACAACTGGGTGGTTTTTTTTTTAATGTTCGTAAAGTTTTATGCTTTTTTTTTTAAGTAAGTGTTAGTTCCAATTCTCTTCACTTTATACATGCTCCCTTTAGGCAATATTATCAGGAAGCACAGCATAAATTTCCATTGCTATGCAGATGATACTCAGTTATATTTGTCTATGAAGCCAAATGAATCAGATCAGCTGGTCAAACTTCAAGCTTCTGACTTCTAAACTCTGACAAAACTGAAGTCATTGTGCTTGAGCCTGAAAATGTTAGAAATCTGTAGTCTAATCATATAGTTACTCTAGATGACATAGCTCTCGCCTCCAGTATTACTGTGAGGA